CTCAATTTCCTCTTTTGAGATTCTCCTTAAGGAGAATCTTTGATCAGCTTCTTGGTTATTTGACCTAATGTCCCCTTATGTGCTTGAGTATCATATTTTGTTTTATAATGAGGGTGTGAAATGCCTTAGGACAGTTCATCATGTTAAAGGTGCTGTATAAATGTAATACTTTTTTGTTGGAGGCTCGGGATCTATAATCAAGATAGACCAAGGACATGTTTTCCTGTGAACAATCTTGTACGGCACCTAGCAACTGTTTCAAGCTTAGGCCTAATTCCTGGTTGCTCTTGGCTGGATAGTTGTGAATCACCTTGTAATAAATAGAGGATGTGAAAGGTTCTATATAAATGCAAGTCATTCTTTGCATCCTGTTTTGGTTAGGAATTGATGAGTGACACAATGCAACACGAATTGAGGGGTACTCGACAAATACCTCTAAGATGAACTATTTTTTGCTGTTCTGTGATTACAATTCAGTGTAAAAGTGGCAGGAATAGTTGAAATTGATATTGCAATTGAAACTGAAATTGAATTGGACCTATTAGATAATATTCCTACATTAATTAGTTTATTCCCATGATTCAAACTATTAATTTGATTTCTTTATGTTTCAGTACTGTCAGTGATTTTTACTGTTAATTTAAATTTGGAGACCAATAATTACAATTGACACAACCTCATATTAAATCCAACACCTTTATTGAAAATTTTAAAGAAAACAGTTGCAATTAAACCACACAATCATCCTTCAGGTGATCAATCAGGTAGAGTGATGTTTGATCAAGATCTGACTGCTTTATGCACAGGATCATTCTCAACAATACGTATCTTCTGTCTTCATTGTGTGCTGTTGTGTGGTCATTTTCAGCGGTTAATACACAGAATACGCAGGTTTTGAAATAGCTCAACGACAATTCCCTTCTGGATGTGGATTTGTTAAATGGGTGCATGTTCAGCTCTTGGTTGGTTAGCATATTCCCAAGTGGTCGTTCATTGGCTTAGTTCTTCCTGTTCTGCTGTGGTTTCTTGTATGCCTTAGTACAGTTACAGCAGTTTTATTCAGCTGTAATTATCTATTCAGTGTCAATGTAATTAGCAGGTATTGTACCCATCTGGCTTCCACACAGCACTGAAATCAGTCCCTTTTCCTATACGACTGAATACTGTAATCTTAATTCGAAAGGATTTCTTGGTAAAAGTATTTTCATAAATTTAAATATACCATCTAAAATCCAGAAAGAAAATACACAGGGAAGAAAGAACTTACTGAGTTACATATAAATAAACAATTTTATAAAGGCTGGACTTATGACTTTGTTATTACAATACTCAAGAAGAAATAATTTCCCAAGGTGGTGATGATTGTAGAAGCTAGATGACAGCTCTCATCTTTGTCAAGAAATGGCAAATTTTCCAAATGATTGTAGCACTTACTAAAAAAAATTACATTATTAGTTACTTGTCTCATTTTTCCTTTCTTCTGTCCTTCTTGCAGTTAGGGAGTGTCTGTAAAGTGCTGAAATTTAGAAAAAAACATTTTTGAAACACTTTTGTATGCAAGAAACTAATGATGCCATGTTTTATTGGAATCTTAGGTGGTGAGGATTATTGGATGAATAAGATTTAAATTAGTACAGTAAATGTAGTGAGAAGAGGAATGAAATTAATGAAATAATTAATTAATTAAGATACAGTAAAGATAGCAGGGCAAATGATGTGCTGTAACTACTGATTGTGGGGTCTCCTAAGCCTTAAATTGACACATTCTTCACCTGAACCATGATGGGACCAGTGCTCTGGCACATTGTATAAGTAGGACAATAGATAGAACTTCAAACTAAATATTTGTTGTGAAAAATCAAGTTTGGGAAGCTCTGATGAATTGAATAGTGAAGTCAAGGTAGGACAGCAAGGTAGAAATAAGGAAAAAGATCTTCAAAGCTTGTGAGAAAGAGTCAAAGCATCTAAACAAAACAGTCCACTGGCAGACAGGGGCTAGAGCTTAAAAAGTAGTGATTGCAAGTAGCATTCATAACAAGTAGGAGAACTGACAGCAAACGTAGAATTAAGTATGTAGGATTTGGTAGCCATTACAGAGGCAAACTGAAAGACTGGGACCTGATTATTCAAGGATATGTAATGTTTAGGAAGGAAATCAAGCTAGGAAAGTGTGGAGTGGGTAGTGTGCCTAATTGTTTGAGAAGATCTGGGCTGGAGACAAAGTGGCCTTCCTGGCTAATTCCAATAAATCCAAGGTGGGAAGGCTCAAGATAAACTTACCACACAGAAAACGGCAAAGAAATTTTATTTATTCCTTTATGGGATGTAGGCATCGGTGGCTCAGGCAGCATTTGTTGCCCATCATTAATTAATGCAAGAAATTACAGAGAGTCGTGAACACAGCCCAGTCCAAAACGCAAACCTGTCCTCCATCCATTAACTCCAACTATACTTAGCACTGCCTTGGGAATATAATCAAAGACTCTTCACACCCCAGCTTTCTTGTCTGCCCCCTCTTCCATCGAGTAGAAGATATGGAAGTTTGAATACACTTGCGAACAGCTTCTTACCCACTGTTACCAGACTTTTGAATGGACCTCTCAAAGCTAATTCTGATCTCTCTCTCTCTCTGCACCTTCTCTGTGGCTGTAATTCTGTACACTGTGTTCTGCTGCCCTGATGCACTTTGTATGGTACCATCTGCTTGTATAGCATGCAAAATGACACTTTTCACTGTAGCTCGGTAGATGTGACAACAATAAATCCAACAAATTAATCAATCAAATAATTACCCTGGCGAAGGTGGTGGTGAGCTGCATTCTTGAACCACTGCAGGTTTTTGAGATGTAGTGGCATGCACAACGCTGTTGGAAAGGAGTTTCAAGACTGTTCACCCAACAGCAGCGAAGGAGCGGTGGTATAGTAACAAGTGTGACTTGGAGAGGAACTTTTAATTAGCAGCCTTCCCACGCATCTCCTTCTAGGTGGCAGAGACTGTAGGCTTGGAAGGTGCTGTCAGAGCAGTCGTGATGAAATAGTTTATCTTGTAGGTGGGCACACTGTTGACACTGCATTGGTGGGGACTGTCGAAGGTAGCAGATGAGGCATCAATCAAGCTGTGTCCTGGATGGTGTCAACTTTCTTGAGTGTTCTGAAGCTGCTCCCATTCAGGCAAGTACACTGTATTCCATTACACTTCTCAATTGTGCCTTGTTGATGGTGTACAAGCGCAGGGGAGACAGGGGGTGCACAAACACAGCGATGAGTGAGCAACAGCACTCATGGCCACACATATACAAGGTAAATTGAAATTTGTAATATTATATAAAATACCATGAAAGGACTGTGAGAAACGCTACATAGGCCAAACTGGAAGAAAACTGACAATAAGGATACACAAACACCAATTAGCCACCAAGAGATACGACCAATTCTCACTTGTCTCATTACACACAGACAAAGAGGGACACAACTTCGACTGGAACAACACATCCATAATTGCACAAGCCAAACAGAGACACGCCAGGGAATTCCTGCAGGCCTGGTATTCTAACCGGAACTCTATCAACAAACACACTGAATTTGATCCCGAATACAAACCACTGAGAAACAGAACCGGAAATGGTACCAAAGACCCCAACAAACTGAGGCATATAAATAACAAGTGGGACAGAACACCCACGCTTCACTGGAGGCGCACTGACAATGTTACCTAGCAGGGTGACAAAATGTTTGCAAACAAACCCATCAGCTCGGTGAGCATTCCTACAACCTCATACACAATGCCAGGTACAAATATTCTTGAAAAAGTGTAAGTTCTGTGGTGCAAACTTTCATAATTTATTTGAAACTCTGCATGAGTATGGTGCTCCACTCAGTGATGGTTTAACATTAAGCTATGCCAGAATGGGAGGAATAATACCTCAAGGATTTGAGAGTCTCCTTGCACTGTGTTGGCTACGATCCTTTTGGGCAGGGATCTCAGATATCCTTGCAAATACAAAAGCCACACACATATATGCTGTGGCTAGCACCTGTCTGTTCTCAGACACTTGTTACTACGTGCAGTTTGTCCAGAATAGGAATGTGTGATGAAGGGAGCACAACCAAAATAAGGGACAAACTTACACACAGGACCATTAGACCCTTCACATTTGTCCCAGCAGTTCCACCATTGGTGTAACGCTGGAGATGCAGCAGACTGTGTGAGATTGACGGTTTGCAATGTTATAAACACTAAACGGATTCCATAACATAGATACAGGTCAGGTATCTATTTTTGTGGTGGAAATCAGAAGTGAAATAACTCCAAAAAGGTTGGCATCCCATCACCAAATCACCCTTTATTTACATGTGCATAGCACATCACACTGACCCACTTAGCACAGAGCCAGCTCCTAGATTGAACAGAACCTCTGACACACCTATTTATCAGCCAGGGTTCCCTGATTGAACTAGCTTAACAGCCCCTATCAGGGAACTCATATTCTATGAGGTCCACCTGGCTGACCTCGTTCCAATCACTACAAGACAAAAGAAACTGACACAACCATACATTTAGAGAAGGACATTCACAAGAGAAATCAGTCAACACTTAGTAAAAACCTGGAAGTCTCTCCCTTAAGAACGTGTATGCTGGTTTACTTGACATTTTCAAAACTGAAATCAACAGATGTTTTTCGTAAACTGGCATATCAAAGAATATGAATCTAAGACGGATAAATTCGGTACATTGTGACACAGAACAAGTAGTCTACAGAGATTGTATCGTCTACTCATATTTCTATCCCCATCTACCAAACATTCGGATCCACTCAAGCATCAAAAACATCAGAATTTAGTGAAGTGGATGCAATAATGCATTGATTATTTTTAAAAGGTACAGATTAGCGCTCATAACATTTATACAAACAATTCAAATTGGTTGGGATAAAAGTAATATAAACATAAAACGGAGTGAAATTTTAATAAAAGGGTACTATTCATCATTCCTCTAGTCTGATAGATTTTGCCTTTCACTTTGAACTCCGCCGGAACCTTCGAGTCGGGGCCGCTGGATCCTGGGGAACGGATGCCTGACGCATAGTCTGACCGTTTGGTCACGTGTGGGAATCGCCTCGAGCTGGGGCCATGGGTAAGAAGAGAATCGGCGGCGGCGGTGGGGGCCTGGGCCGAGCTATTATCAAAGACAAGAATCAGGCTGCAGGGAGACTGCGGAGAACTGACAGCTGGGT